ATGCATGTATTGCGCGTGCCATCTCAGCTGTGTCTGATGTCCAATTGTAAGCCGGTATCGCTGTGCTGGCGGCTACGGGTATGATGTGATTGGGTTAGGGTTGATTGGGCCGGTCTGTATGATATATAGAGAAGTCCGGATGTAGCGTAGGAGAGTCGCCATTTGAATATATATTCATTTCGATCTAATTCAATCTGGCTGCCAATATCGGGACGAATACTAGGCGCCAAGCTGGGCACCAAAAATGGATATGAATAATAAGATACAAAATTGTATATCCCATTTGATCCCATGTTACGCAGGGTGCGGAATGTCTAAGTAATATGTGGGGAACATGGTCGGAATGTGAGGGGAAGGCAGTTAATACCATGACATCCTCTAAACCTGCGGAATGTGGTGGGAACACGCTGGGAATGTGGCGGTAATGTGCTCATCCTCTCCGTGTTCCCCAACCTCTGTAATCTGGCGCTTCACGTGGTGTATACTATTCCTGGTGACTTGAGGTGATCCTGCACTCTAAGTATACCATGTACAAATCCTTGTATTACGGTGTGAACTCTTGTGGATCACTGGGTACAAAAAAATAAAGCCTGATTCTCATGAAAACTCTGGCACCCACGCTGCCTGCAGGAATACAGACGGAGGAAAGGCATTAGAATTGCGGGCGCGCGACCTCTTGGCAGCTGAAGGCTCTCACCAACTGTCATAGAAAAATCCTCTCTGAGTCACGGTCAAACTTCCTGATCGCGAAGCCTGATTGTCTCTGCCCTCGCCCCACATGGTGGGTCCAGTGCCACACAACGGAATGCCCCGACTAAGCTGCGACCTCTACCGCAAGACCAGTCTGCTGTGAACGCCCTATGTAGTGATTACCTTTACAGGTTGAACGAGCACGGAGCGAGACTCATAAGCGCCTACTATACCACGATGGTGAATGAAAGCGAAACGACCGAGACTTCATTATGGGCACATGGGTCTCCCCTGAAGGTCCTGCCCCATCAGAGCATCGTCGGAATACTATGGGTAATGAGTACTGGACATCAGTGGTGCTCACATGATGGGAGAACATCATCACAGGAAGCGAAGTGCGGCGGCAATAATTACACAGTCTGATTGGGTAAGACACAGCTTGAAGCGCATCCCAGCGTGAGTACGCGTCGGCTGTTACGGGCTGTTCTTTCCCTGTCTATCGCCATTCCTCACACGCATTTCGCACTACGTCGGAGTGCTGCTCGAACTGACATAGATCCGTGATACCTTTCCACCCTGTTGCAAGGCACGGGATTATGTACCTGTCACGCCAGTGCCGAGCTGACTACGGTCCATTGCTCAGTGCAAATACGGCCTGCGCTACCGGAGCGGCGCAGAGATTCCATAGACGCTTAACCATCAACATCGAGGATGCACGTCGGCTCCGGGGTTTTTCTTCGCATTGCGTTTGTCGCAACGTTGTGGGCTTTTCTGCTACCTCTGTTAGATGCGGCTGTGTATAAGGATGCTTCAGAGCTGCCGATGGATGTCTATGATTTCGTTATCGTCGGAGGTGACTCCTATCCTGCTGCACACCAGACTTCCAGTCCTCACAGCGTTTTTGCAGCCGGGGCCGGTGGCAACGTCATTGCCGCGAGATTAACGGAGGACCCTCGATTCAGCGTGTTACTCATTGAGGCAGGGATATCGTGAGTTCGGATGCTCCATGGACTCTTCCATCTCCCTGATCTGTGCTGAGATGATATGTCAAACACAGGCATGAGGGTGTGCTCCCGGTGGAGATTCCGTTTTTGGCACCGACAAGCTTTCCCAATACATCAGTTACATGGAACTATAGCACTACTCCTCAAGAAGGCCTGAATCAACGTGTCCTTCCATATCCACGAGGCCGTGTCCTCGGTGGCAGTACTTCTATCAGTAAGACAGAGATTGTTTTCTCGGCAGGAAGGACACTCGTTACTAATGGAGTACTAAGACTTTATGGCATACACTCGCGGATCCAATGAGGAGTTTGATCGCTGGGCAGCTATTACCAAGGACGATGGCTGGTCATGGAAGAATGTAGAGATATACTATCTTCGGGTAAGAGTAGCCCTCCGTTCCATCTTCTGACTGAACTCTAACCTAATGTTAACAGAACTCAAAGCTTGTCCCGCGCGCCGACAACCAGAGTTGTGCGGGTTTGGTCAACCCTGCTGATCACGGCTTCGGACCCGTCGACGTCAGTCTCCCTGGATTCCCCACAGAGATTGACGGTCGCTTTGTCGATGCCAGCAAGTCTTCCGGTTCTCAATTCCCATTTAGCATAGATCTCAACAGCGGAAACGCGCTGGGATTTGGTGAGCGCCACCAGTCATCGAGGGATCTCCAGTACTAATGGCCACATGAGAAGGCGTAGTGCAGAATGCTATTGGAAGAGGGGCAAGGTCAAGTTCTGCGACTGCATACCTCGAACCGGCTCTCAATCGGTCGAATCTACACGTTCTGATTGAAAACACCGTAACAAAGCTTATATCCACCGGTTCGGTGAAAGGGGCACCGTCGTTTCGTAAAGTGCAGTTTGCACCAAATGCTACCGGTTCGTCTGTATGGTACGCTCTAGAATCAAGTGATCTCACCTGTGCGGATATGACAGCTCCGTACTCATTGGTAACTGCAAGAAAGGAGGTGATTCTCTCAGCGGGTGCAGTGCATCAGGAAAAACTCCCCGCGCGAATTCACAGAAAATTAGTGCTAATGTCAACTAATGACGCCCGTGACCATTGGTGGTCTTATATCTCGAGATTTGCGCGCTGGATGAGTTCCTTGAAGGTAATAATAGGCACACATACTTTACTGCAGGCCCAAAAATCAAGGACTGTATGCTCAGAACACGTACAAGGCAAGAGAGACCATCTCTGCGTCTTTCCCAAGTCAATTGAAGCCTGCCCTAAGTACGGGCGCTCACACCACAGCCGCATCCCATTGCGCGCTCGACGCTCCGTTGCCACGTCTCTCCTTCCGACATCAGTGTGCCCACCCAACCTTTCCTCCTTCTTTTCACCGCTACATACGGGAGTGGCCAGTTTGACTGGTGGGTGATCTAGTACTAGCGGACATGGTGGTATGAGAGTGATACTACAGAAGCTGGGGTCCAGGTGAGTTGTAA